GCAAGGATGCTCCTCGCCGGGATGTGCAGACAGGCACACCTGGGAGACACACACAAAATAGGGGCTTACCCTGCCCGGGCAAAGCCGTCTGTGCTCGTCGTGCTGAGGATGAAGAGGAGTCCCGAGAGGAGGCAGCTGATGTGGCGCATGTCCTGGCCCTCCCGCGGTGCCCCGGGCTGTGTGGCACGACCGAGTCTTGCTCTTTGGTGGGAAGCGCTGGCTCCTACCGCATGTCTCACCCTTCAGCAGGGAACCCTGCAACCGAGAGAAGAGCGGCGTGAGCATGCGGCGTCCGTCCCCAGCCGGTGACATCTGACAGAGGCGGGGGGGCGGGGGCCGGAACCGTCACCGGCGAGCGAGCGAAAAGGACGGCACTGGGTGTGCACAGACCCTCCGAGGGCCGCACAAGGGGCTGGGGCAGGAGCACACTTGCTGGCAGCAGAGCAGAGTGACATGGCCAAGCACAGGGGAAGGGGGGACACAGCCAGCGCCAGGTTGTTCCCATGAACCCCTGGCAAGGCGGGCGCTGGTCCAGGCACAAACCCGCTTTGTCCCACTCATTTCAATGGTGTGGCAGGGATTTACCCCGAGGGGAACGCCTGGCCCGGCACGCCGGAGATGCTCTCACGGCACCGGGGGCCGCAGAGTCGCTTGTCGAGTGGCAGGGAAGGGACCTGTGTCGTATGAAATATGCTGCCAATTCCAGGCAGCAAGGGCAAAACAATGGCCTGTCATTTCTTAATCCATACAGCATTGTAAAGCTGCATTTTCCCACCACATAACACACTGAAATCTGATCTTCTTCTCTTTAAAATACAAGTTCTTGCCAGAGAAAAGTGCTGCAAGGGCCATATGTACCGTCTGCAGAGTCAGTACTAACCGAGTCGTGAATAAAGAGGCTTTGATTTTCTAGGAGAGGACAAATATGAAACAAGGCTGAAGAAGGTCAATAACAATATCTAATTTAAACAGCATCTAATTTAAACAAAATAGTCGGCCTCCGGATGGCAGCAGTTAATGGAGGAAGAAATAAAGAAATCCACCTTAAATACACGCCAATTAAAGAAAGAATCAGTCTTTCTGATTAAACCTGGAGAAAGGAGTGGTTTTACGGGGAGGCAACGCAACAAGAAAGATCCTTCTGAAACAGCAAATATGGTGAGAGGCAAATAAACTTTTTAAAATCCCCAGGTGACGTGGGGTGGGACTGGACTGCAGAGTTGCAGGTTCATCCCCAAACTCCTTTGGGCCATTTCCTAAGTCCGAGCCAAGTCGTTAGGGATAACCGTCCCAAATCTGTAGACCCTGCAGGGCTCAAAGCCCTTCTCCAAGGCACTCAGTATCATCTTTTCCTTTGTGCAGCTGAAAAACCTGAGGCATGGAGAGATGCAGACCTGCATCTGGAGGGAAACCAGCCTGGTGCCTTCCTGCCCCTTAATATCAAACATCTTGTGCGCATTTCCATGCAGTGAGAGCATCGAGCGAGGCGGACGGCTGGCTGAGCAGCCCCTTCCCCTCCTCACCCAGCCAGGGACGCAGCCCACCCCATGAGCAGGGCAGGTGGCTCTGCCTGGCTGAGCAATAGGGAGGTTCTGTGTCACAGCAAATCGACTGTATCGCTATAAACCACAGTCGGGACCTCACTGGGTCCCTGAATTCAGCGGTACTGCAGAAGCTGAGAGTCAGGCTCCAGGACAGCGAGGGATAGCAACGTGCCCACCCTGCTCCTACAGAGGTACGAGCTATTCCCATGGAGCCGCAGCCCAGCAGGGACCTGCAGATGCCCAGGCCCATCTTAACCTCTGTACAAGCCCAGCTTCGAGGATGTAAGGAGGATTTTGGTGATATAAAGCCTGTAGTCCTCCGTTCTCCTCCAAACATAGCAATAAATTTCATCTTCTAACGATTAACATATGGTATCTTCACCATCAGGAAATCAAATCTTGGTTGACCTGCAGGAAAGTTTTTTAAAAAATAGTGAAGAAACCTTCTTTGTCCCCAGTCCTCCTGGAGACATCCGAGGGACCCTAGTGTACAGAGCCGTACCGACTCCCCACTGCTCAGCCAGCCGGCTTTTCCCAGGGCTATACTGGGACACATATTTTCCTTACAATCACAGATCCCCAGACTAGCAGTGCTTCTCCAGAAGTCTGTAAGTCAAACTCTGCCAACCATCTCCGTCCTCCCACAGGATTCCCGTGATTGCTGTGGGAGCTTTCCCTGCGGGGAAGGCAAGAAACGCAGGGCACAAGCCTAAAATATAGATGGTTTGTTTTCTCACTTTGAAATGGAGCAGCACTGCCCTACCTCAAGTGGTCAGAGTATCCCTCTGGGTCATAAAATTATGGTTGCTTCATACTAGAAAAAGTTTCAAAAGTGGAAAATATGATAGTTTATGAAAATCAGCCTTTTTTAAGCTGCTGAAGATCCTCCAACCTGTTGCCACTACCTATTTTAATACTCCTCTTTTAAAGTATATAACTTAAGGAAAATATTTTCATGCTTAAGAAAACAGAATAGAGCTTTTGTCACTGCCTTTCTCGTCTCTCAAATGAAGAGGCAAAGTCCCGTGGTCTGGCAAGTGAAACTATGTGGCATCTGAGCTTCTGCTGTTTTGGGGCAGCAAAGTCTCCTCGGCTGGCCGTGTGCTGCTGTGAGTGGGGGTCCCTCTCCCACCAGCCAGAAACCCTCCTGTATCTCTCCTAAGTCTGCTCTTGCCTAACCCGCCACAGCAAGCAATGGGAAAATACAACCCACCGTGTGGGTGAGCAGTGCTTTGTCCCGCTCTGCCCATGAAACCAAGGCTAAAACTCCAGCTGATGGCAGGAGGAATCAGGGTCTGTCTGCAAAGCGGTGCAGGAGAACCCAGTCCCTCAAGAGGATGCAATTGCCCTCACGGGAACACAACAACAGCTGCGCTTTTTCAAACAGCCTGGCCTGGTTCTGCAGGTGAAACCGCTGCTCCCAGCTGTGCGCTGGACCTGGTCTGTGCCCTCAGAGCCAAACCCTCCTGGAGAGAGGCAGCAGCAGCAGCACGGAGATGGATTTTCCCCTACAAACGTCTCCAGCTGTTCTCTGCGCAGGCTGGGATGCAGGCACGGCAGAGCACAGGCACAGGGATGCGGGCACGGCGGGGCAGCGTGTCGGGAGGGGGACACGGCGGAGCCGGCTGCGGGGGTACAGCACCGT